CAGATGAGCTCCTTGGGGCTGGCAGGAATATATCTGCCCTGCTGCATTTTAATGTATATTTATGTTATTAGTAGCTGCAAAAATCAGGATGTTTTTCTTCCTCTCCCCAGAAGATGATCTCAGGCAGTGGTGCCCTGAAGTACTCCATTCAGATGCTGACCAGTTTCAAATCTGGCCTGAAATCGAGGCTCGTAGTTGGATCAGAAGAGGACAAGTTTACTGTATTAATTGCTTTCAGTTGTTGAACGCTTTTTATACAGTGTTACAAACTCACAAGTCTCGCACATTTTTTTCCCATGTGTGACTTCCCTTTCAAATCCAAAAGTACATTTTGCAAACAGAAATGTGTGATTTGATCAAATGTTTAAATCTCACATTCCTGCCATAAGACAGATTTAACGATAATTGTAAATAAAACCATTATAAATAAAAGTTGTGGCCATCAATAACAGCACTGCAGTGGCGAAGGTGTGTGGGTTGTGGAGGGTGACTCTTGTGTGGCTGTCGAGCGGGACCAACGCAGCCGGGTCCCAGCTGTGGGCTGCGTTGAGGAGGGTGGACATGAGCCCAGCCGGGCCTTACCTGGGAGCTGCTCCTGATGTCTTTTCCACAGATGTCCTGCTTTGTCAAAACCCAGTAAATCTTGTGAAGTTTATTTTCCTTATAGCATCTGTGTTTTATAATGGTGCTTTTAATTTGTTTTTTCTTTGTCTGCTGGGATTTCTTTTGTCCGGCACTTTCAGGCCTCCCTTCTTCTCTCGGTGGAAGTGAGTCTGTTAATGATGACCCCGGCCAGGCCGGCATGGCAGCCACTCCCTCCGTCTGACAACAAAACCCATTGTTGTTTTCCTTCTTCACTTTTATCCTCGACTTAATCCATTTTTCCTTTGAGTATTTGTGGAATGGAATGTCTGGTAAAGCGTGGCTCAGATTTCGGGTGGCCGGTCTGATGGAGATTTTGTTGTGGATGTTCAGCAAGCAGGTACAAGGATAGAGCTAACTGGTTGTACTTCGGTGTCTCAGAAGGCAACATTTATCCAAGCTGAGGCTGTGCTTGTAAATAAACTGCTGCTACCAGAGCCACGACATGCTCCGCTTCTTTCCAAGTCCCTTAGTAAGATTATTAACAGATTTACCAGCAGCTTAAATTGAGACATAAGAACTTTTCTTTTTTCCAATGGAAGACTAAAAAGCTGAATTAACTGTAGGATTGGTTTGGATTGGGTGTGGTTGAGCTCAAGAGTTTGGACCTTGAGTTTGTAATATTTGAGTGAAAATAATCTAAGTGCTTCCTTTTGCGTGTGTCCATAGCTGAGGCCCGGAGTGCAGGCAAATGGGAGGATGCCTACGGGGAAAATAAACTTTAGCCTAAACTGGCTTTAATGTATTCCTCGCACAGCTCTTGAACTGTCACCTGAAAGTCTCTTTGGTGGCAGCCTGTGGAAAGACAAATACTTCACCCAAGGGCCTTGCAGAGGGTCCTGAGTGCTGTTAGCTCACGCGCTGGGTGATTACCAAGGGAAGGTGCCTCAGCACTCAGGAGCCTCTGCTGGAAATGTTCACATTGCTTCTTGAGAGGACAAGTTCGCCATGAAATTGTGAAGGTTTGTAATTTTTTTTTTTTTTAGAAAAAATTAATTTTTTCTAGATTAATTGCAATGGAAAGTATTCCTTGAAGAGTCAACAGGACGTGATTTGTGTGTAGCTGTCAGTATACAACCAAGTTAGTATTTGAAGTTAAATTGTAAATGCCGAGTGAAGCTACTCTATTGAAGCTATAATCCCAGGGTTTTATTCTTTATTAATATACATATCTCCTTACAAGAATGAACATATACTGTCCATATGTGGCAAAGTAACGAGTACAGGATTCTGCTGGATGAAAAATATTTGATGTTTCTAGCCAGCTTAAACTTTGTCTTATCTGTTGCTTGTCCTTTGACAGTGAGTCAACAACTGCTCGAGCTGTAGAAATAATGTTGATGCTTGAGTGCATTCTTTGTGCTCTTTCGCCCTGCTACGGCAGTCCTGTGCACACACAACTCCTCTTCACTGCAGGAGTTGTGCCCTGCTTTGCAGGCCTGGAGAAATGGAGGGTGACTTCAGCGAATTTCTAGACGGGTGCAACAGCGTGTCATAAAATTACGGGGGTTTAAAATGACTTATTAAACATCATTTGTGACACTGTTTTGTTCTAATGAAATTCAGAATGCGCAGTACAGCTTTCGCTTGGGAAAGGATCAGCCCTAATTGTTAAATGGCATGCATGTACCTCTCTCATAGGTCTGAGGTGACGTACAAGGAAGATACAACAGTATTGATCACTGATATCATAAAAATAGCTAAAAATAGGCTTGTGAAGAACAAATATGCTTATTTCTTCTATTAAGCATGATTTTCTTTAACCTTACTCATTGCACCGTCTTAATGGCCAGATTTTCAAGAAAACCTTTACTGTCAGAAATAACTCGTGTCTTTATAGCATTCCATCTTTTAATTTTTGACTTGTATCACCTTCGGTTACATTTATTTGCAGTTAAGCAACTGAACGTCGCTGCAGAAAATGCAGATGGGCAGGCAATAGTTATTGGGATATGTTAGGTATTTTCAGCTTTTCCATTTGTCATAGATGATTTTTTAATTGTTTGTGCTGTGAAGTGCTGTATGTTATGAGCTCTAGATTAGCTGATTTTTTCTTGACGTTTTCATGCCTCAGACTAAGCTCTACATTTCAAAATGAAATGCTTGACCTCTGAATGCTTTTTTCAAAGAAGAATCATGTTATTTTGGTCCCATTCAGTATCTCTTTTACACGTTTTCAGTTCTCTCTGTGTAGTTTAGTTATTTTTTTGTTTACCTTTTGTTTTCTTGTGTGTGGGCCTAAAAATTTGTAGGATCTTGTTGCTACAATTAATAAAAAAACTCCTAAGTGAGGACTTAATCCTGCAGTTTTCTGAGTATCCTCAACTACCTCGGGATTCCTCGACTTGTAGGAAAATGATGAAGCTCATCCTTGTGTAGGAAGGACATCTGTAAATGCCTCATTTCTCTGCATGCAAATATTCTGTTGAATCACCTGAAGGTTTTGCATATGCAGAACTACATGATGTTGGGAGCAGAGGGCACTGAGTAATTAAATGTGGCTTGAGAGGGAGAGAGAGGGGACTGTTACAACACAGTCGTTTGGTTCAGTAGTTCATGGTTAATCATTATATTCCTAACAAGTAAAAGAAAACAAATTAGAGACATTTGGAGCCCCTTCTGTAGATACCGTCACTGCTGCGTAGAGTGCAGCGGCTCATGGTGAATGTAGGAGGGTGAAACACTTTCAGAGAGGCCTTGATTACATGCAACAGTAACTAATTAGACAGTAATGCAGAAAACTAGTCTTTCTACAAGACTTCTAGCTTCTTTCTACAAGAACCAAGAATGCATTATGCAACTAATCTTAAAAAAATTAATTGCATCTCAGTCTTAATTTAAAACTGAGCTGGGTTTTTTTTTTCCCCTTTCCTGTTTCTTTTTATTCCAAGTTGGTGCAGGAAAGTTGCTATTAATGAAATCTGCTCTCTGAGACTTCAATAGGCTTGTTATTCATTAAAGCCTTGCTATTTCTCTTAAAACGTATTGACTAATGTTCAGGCCAGATACTTAACACAAAATACACTTTGTAATTTCATCATTTTTTGTTACTGTGCTTTTCTGATACAGAGGTCTATGGACTTTGTAGAAAAAACAAATAAAACCTCTAAGCTTACAGTTATATAGTATTAAAAGAAGGGTAAAGGAAGCATTGAGTGTCTTTAGGATGATGAGACATTCATTAAGATTTTTCCGCCTTCCTTTTCCTATTTTCAATCCATCTGAAGTACCATTAAAGCTTTTGAGGCAGCTTCCTGTGAGAAACCCTTTTCTGTGCTGTTTTTCTTCCTTCAAAAAAGGTGGCTGCTCTTCAGTCAGATTGTATGGATTTGGCCTGGGATTTGTATAATATCTGTGTAGAATGCATCGGTTGTTTAGAAACCTAATTCCCAATATGGCTCCCTTTTGATTAAGAACAAAGCCAGCGTTTCACAGCATTATAGGAACACAGAAAAACAAGTTAATGATCTAAACCTTTTAATTCATGGTTGCTTGTCTATTTAAAGTACTTTTGATTCTGTTATAAACAGACTGGCCCCTTTTTTGTTTAACTTCTTTCTTTGGTTTCTTCACATTTCTTTCTTTACTGTCCATGAAATTTGTAGCTAGTTTCCTTTTCTCACTGAAGAATGAAAGGTTGTGACTACAGAATGATACAGAAAGTAAGAAAGCGTATCTAAACTGGGCGTATATCCAGCACAGACCTCTTTGAAACAAACTAAATTTAGGGTTGTTGGAGTTTTTTGTTATGTTTCCCCCCTCTTTTTTTTTTTGAGTACCTACGTTTTGTTTTCTTCTTATTTGAATGAATATAAAATTTGTTACTTCTTGATACTTCCATGATTTTTACATGTAGTTTGACATGGCTTTATTTTATACAGTTCCTTGTTATTTTCCTCCGGTCTTAGTCCGGCAGATTACTATTATGTGTGCCTTTATCCGTAGAGACAACAAAAAGCGACCTTTTCAGGACTTTCAATTACCAACACTGTATGTGGTACTTTAGGAAAATAGTTCCCTTCCAGATTTTCTTCTTTTTTTTTTAACGGAGAATTGGAATCCAGAGCTTGGTCTTCAAATTGAACTTGAAATCTTTTTGGTGAACAAAACTGCCAGGCAAGCTTTTTTTTTTCCATGGAAGAGGACCTTATTCCCATATATAAAAATAAATATTTGCTGCTTCCATTGTAATTTATTTTTTACCTGAAATGAAGATTACTTTTTTAGATCTGTTTTTGTTTACAACAGGTACTCATTATTTCTTTTTTTGGTAAAAGCTTATTTCAAGCAGTTGTTAGAAATGATAAATGGAGAAAACTTTCCAATAATGTGTTTTTTTACGTCTCTATCCCATCAAGGTAAATTGAACAGCCAAGATACTTACAATAACTTCACAAACAATAATCCTGGGAACCCTCGACTCCTGCCTCTTCCAAGTTTGACTGTGGTGTTGCCTCTTGCTCAGATCAAACAGCCAATGACATTAGGGACCATCACCAAACGCACAGGGTAAGTGTATCTGCACGCTCCTTTCTAACGTTGTTTATAATTAATATGGACATAATATGTGTTACTAGTGATACTTAAGCAGTAAAACTATTTTAGTTTCCATGTATGTAATTTAATGGCAACAGAAGGGGGGTGGAGGGAAGAGGAGGCAAGAAAAGAAAAGCAGCATCCAGTATGTAAACAGAACCTGAAAACAACTCTCTACAGATTTAGGAGTATTTATTTGGGTGGGTCATTTTCTTGCAGTCTACCATATGGGAAATACTATATGCTGACATCAGGAGAAGTTTCACACCAGGAATTGCTATGAAACATAAGCAGAGCTGTATTCAATCAGAATAAGTTATGGGTTTACTTTCTTTTTTTTAGCTTGTTTATTTTGATTTCCAAACTTTTCAGGGAGAAATTATTTTTGACTATCAGAAAAGGAAAGAGAATAAGCCAGGTTGAGTATAAAGAGAAAACTTAATCCTGCTGTTTTCTTGACCTTATTTTTCCTCTGAAGTGACTGTTCTGTACTATGAAATTCACGTGTGGACTTTCATTCCGGAGCCAGCTGCACTTTGGTACTTCTCACTCTGCCATGATCCAGCACTTCATAATATTTGTTGTGAAAAACTCTACAAAATATATGTATATTATAGTTACTAAAAGTTTTGTGAGCTTCAGAAACTTTAAGAATTTTTAAGTTAGTCGGTACTGTTCAACAGTGATACTTTTCGCTAAATTTCAAGTCTTCAGTTTCTGCAATTAATAGATAAAGCTAGTGGGTGATTATTCTTTCCACCCTCTCACTTTTTTTGGTTGTTCAATATTTTCTGAATATTGCCTAGTTACAAGTGACCAATCCATTACTTACAGATTGCTTTTACATTTTAAGCAAAACAGATCGCGTGTGGCATGTGGTTGGACAAAGCAGTTGAGAGTCCTGCAGGTTCATAACATTTTCCTCTGTGTTGGCAAATGAGTGCAGGCACTGTCTTGCTTCAGTGCTTTCTTGCTCAAACCCCCATAGGGAGGTGAATTTTACCTTCTCTTTCATGAACCCGGGAATTATTTTTCCGGCGAGAGCTCATGGATATTCTCTCTCTCCCTGATTAATTCCCATGTTCTGTGCTTGAGTGTTCAGAACACCCTGTAAAATCTGTTCTTCTTTGTTTAGTGCAGGAAGTGTGCGTGCTGAGGTTCTAAAGCACGTGTGCACACACATACGTGTGCATGCGCATACATAACGTGTATGCACATACATACGTGTGTACCTGTATATTTAATCTCTGACAACCCAGTCCCGCTCTTGCTGCCGTAAATAAGAATTTCATTAGACTAGATCTGATTTCATTAGATCGTGAACTACGAACATGCAGTTGCCCTTAGCACAGAGGCTGTCTGCGGATAAGTTCCTGAACTTCATAGAGAATTGTAAATGGGACTTAGAAACAGGAAAGAAGCAGTGTGAGGGTAATGCTGTGGTTTAACTTCTTCCAAACATGTATTTCCGCTGCTTATTTTTGCATTTTTTTCCTGCTTACAGTGTAAAGACAGGCAAGGGAAATAGTTTGTGCGAGCGGTCAGGTGGATTTTGAAAGTACGGAAAGGTGTGATCTTGGACGAGGACGGGAAGGGAGGTGGGGTCGGAGAGAGGTTGATGTGCATGCAGATACACAGGAAGTTACAGTCCCGAAAGAGAGGAAAATATCAAAAAGGTGACTTGAAGAGTACAGTCAGCGAAGGACAGAAAGGTAATTCTGGGGTCAGGAGGTAGACTCCTAGAAATGGACAGATGCTTAGAAGAAGGTGGGACAGGAGACAGAATAAAAAGCCAGCTGAGAGTCTGCCGTGGGTAGGGTGATCGCAGCACTGGCGAGAATGGTGAGTTTTAAAAAAGCACTTGGTTTGCAACAGTAATTCAGGCAGCGGCCTTTACAGAGGCTGTTCCGTTAGCGCTGTGCTGATACCAGTAAACTTTTCTGCAGGTATTGCAAATGTCATAAATCTGCATTATTTTATTGAATTATCTATTCTTAAAGACACTTAACATATTCAGAGAGTATTCATGTTCGTAGTTGTCTTTAAGTAAATTTTACTGTTCCAAACTGTCCTTGTCCTATATTTTGTGTAATTAATTTTAAAAACTAATTAGATTTAAAATACTCAGTGAGGCTTTAAAGGGGGGGAAACAACAGTCATGGGAAATACCCTGCTGTGTAAATACAGTTTTCATGAATGAGGATCATAACTTTAAGCGAAGCCCATGTAAAGGCATCGTGCTAAGCTGAGAGCTTCCTTCATTTGTTCTGCATCCAAAAGATTTGATGAAAGTACACAAAATTAACATGAAAAGCTGTATTTATAAAGCAGGGATTTAAGAAGAATGCCTAGGATCCAAGAAGCCTGGCATGCCTAAAATGACCAAATTGAGACAGCAGCCTTAACTTAAACCTCCAGGGGGCAAAGCGTGTGTTTAACATATTTAACATCTGCCCTCATATTTCTAGAAACACATAGCAACGTAAGTCTGCACAGTGTAATATTTAGACAGGACAGGGACCATCTGCCTCACTCTGGGAAGTGTAGGAGGCATGTATTACTGCAAATGGCAAAAGACAGATGTATTTACACCTACATGGTCAGCACCTTTAAGCACTGCTCCGAGGAAACAAGGCTCTTCTTTGGGAGCAGCTGCTTAACCTTGTGATTGTGCAGTGATCAGAAAAGGAGACGGACTCGCTATCGGTTGGATTTTACAGTCGCTCTTCAGTGGCCCTCAGAGCAGATGCCTTTTCTGTTGTTGCTACTATTAAAGAGCTAAAAATCTAATCTGTTGCAGCACATTTCTAGAAGTAAAAAGTAAGACTAAAAGAATACCATATAATTAGCCATTCTGGATTTGTCCGTTTTGTTTGCTTTCAACATAGGAAAAGCTGCTTTAATACTAGACATCAATTAAGTTATGCAGGTTCTATTAACCAAAACCCCAAGTTGGTTTGTTTCCTTCTAGTATCCAAGACAGCAAAATATTTTTCAGGTACTGAAAGGACTGATCAGTGCTCTTAATATCCTCGGTCTCAAGCAGAGCTGAAAACATGTCATTTTACTTGACAAGTGGAATGGCAGTAAATTTTTTAAGTGTTCACAGTAGCCCTGTGGGAATGAAAGCCCAGAATCTGGAGTTGTGTCATTGCCGTACTGTTCAGCACAGGTGCTTTTTTTCTCATGCAAACTTACGGCTTTTGGAACATTTCCTGATCAGTCATTAAACTCTCCTGTTCTGAATACAATTCACATGCTCAGCACTGAGTAGCTCAGAGCTTACCTCCTTTCTTGCCATCACTATCATTTCCTTGTTCCCTACCCTCTGTTTCTTCCCTTGCTTTTTCAAGTCTCTCATTATAATTTCTGCACCTTGATGAAGCACTTAATTTTTGTCCCTATATTTTGTCATCCCATTGACTCGCTTTCCTGCAGTTTGTACTGTCAGCACATTCTGAGGAGCAGATACGCTTTCCCAAAGGGACTCTAACACTAATGAGGAAGGAAGCATCTTATGTTTTAAAGATTAAGGGGATATGACAGTAAAAGAGGTAGATTTAATAGGTCTTTACATGTCTGTGCCTCAGTTTCCTTCTCAAAATTTTAATAGTAATGCTGAATTCCTTCTCAGGTCTGGTGAATGGGTTAATTCATTGCTCATTTACAAAGAACTTACAGATTTGAAAGGGGAAGAACTGCATGGTCCATCTCATGCTTGTCTATAAAAGGCAGTGAATCAGAGTGTGTTAGAAGACAGCTTTGTGCTTTGCAGTAGCTTTATGAGCGTTCCTTGTGTTGGTGGGCTGAGTTGTAGTTAGTTTCCAGTTTGTAAGAATGTGGGGACACAGATGAGCTGTAATAGGAAGGAGGGAAATAACAGAGACAATAATTGCCCCAAAAGAAAAAAACTAGTGTAAAAGTCGACTTCTCTGACAGCAGCATTTGTTTTAACTTTCTCAAGGGATGTGGTCATTATACTTGTATCATACTTCATTCTCAAATACATTATAGCTTTAGTGAAACACCAGGTTGTAACCTGCATTAGTTGGGTCTTGTCAAAACAGAGACATCCGACGTACCTTCTAGGAGCGGGAATAAACCTTACTTTGTTTTCCATCCAAAAGATTTGGATGGTGTGTTTTTACACGTGAAACTGTCCGTTCTTCCTCCTGTCCCTCCTTCCACCCCCAGTAAGGAAGGGGAAAAGTAGGTAAAGTGGCTGGTGCAGTTTTGTCATTGTAGCGTTTCATTGCTTTTCATTGAACTGAAAATCACTGACAGCCATTGGTTTCATTTTGACTTAGAGAGCTTAATTTATTGCTGGTTCTACTGCTGAAGCAAACAAAAATGAAGAGTGAAAAGTCATGGTGTCATGATACAATTAAGTAGGAAAAAGAACCAAAAACGTCAAGAAAAAAATTGTAAAGTGAAAGTAAGAATTCAGTACGAGAGGGCAGCTTCCCCGCATGCTGAAGCCAGGCATCCTCTTTCTGGCACATTTCTCAGATGTGACACCTTTAGCTTTTATAATACATTTTGGTAATAGAGCAGCTACTGTCATGATTTTCAATTCATATGAAATACAGTTATTTGCACTAAATTTTGTTCAGGTCCCACTATGAACGGATTCTTGCTATGGCAACATGAGGGTTAGAGTAAGTGGTTAGTGCACAGCTTACGCAAAGCTTAAATGGTTTTTACAGAACCTGATAATGCAAAATCAAAGAATGTTTCAGTTTTCAATTTGCTAAAACTCAGAATCAGATAAGAAATTAAGAAAATTCTGGGGGAACTTTGAATCATAAATCATCTTCATTCCATAATTTTCCTTTGAATTTCTCGCTGGTTGTCAGAATGGGGAACCTCAGCGAGTTTTTTGCCTCGGCATTGCTGGGTTACTGTCACCGAGCGTAGCCATCTGGTGCTGTCTTTTCAAGGTTGGGTTATCCTGTAATTTGTACATTCTCTCT